CCGCCATCTCCTACATCACTGTATCTATGTCCTCACCATCTCCTACATCACTGTATCTCTGTCCTCTGTTCCCGCCATCTCCTACATCACTGTATCTCTGTCCTCACCATGTCCTACATCACTGTATCTCTGTCCTCTGTTCCCGCCATCTCCTACATCACTGTATCTCTGTCCTCTGTTCCCGCCATCTCCTACATCACTGTATCTCTGTCCTCACCATCTCCTACATCACTGTATCTCTGTCCTCTGTTCCCGCCATCTCCTACATCACTGTATCTCTGTCCTCACCATCTCCTACATCACTGTATCTCTGTCCCCTGTTCCCGCCATCCCCTACATCACTGTATCTCTGTCCTCTGTTCCCACCATCTCCTACATCACTGTATCTCTGTCCTCTGTCCCTGCCATCTCCTACATCACTGTATCTCTGTCCTCTGTTCCTGCCATCTCCTACATCACTGTATCTCTGTCCTCTGTTCCCGCCATCCCCTACATCACTGTTTCTCTGTCCTCTGTTCCCGACATCTCCTACATCACTGTATCTCTGTCCTCCGATCCCGCCATCCCCTACATCACTGTATCTCTGTCCTCTCTTCCCGCCATCCCCTACATCACTGTATATCTGTCCTCTGTTCCCGCCATCTCCTACATCACTGTATCTCTGTCCTCTGTTCCCGCCATCTCCTACATCACTGTATCTCTGTCCTCACCATCTCCTACATCACTGTATCTCTGTCCTCTGTTCCCGCCATCTCCTACATCACTGTATCTCTGTCCTCACCATGTCCTACATCACTGTATCTCTGTCCTCTGTTCCCGCCATCTCCTACATCACTGTATCTATGTCCTCACCATCTCCTACATCACTGTATCTCTGTCCTCTGTTCCCGCCATCTCCTACATCACTGTATCTCTGTCCTCACCATGTCCTACATCACTGTATCTCTGTCCTCTGTTCCCGCCATCTCCTACATCACTGTATCTCTGTCCTCTGTTCCCGCCATCTCCTACATCACTGTATCTATGTCCTCACCATCTCCTACATCACTGTATCTCTGTCCTCTGTTCCCGCCATCTCCTACATCACTGTATCTCTGTCCTCACCATGTCCTACATCACTGTATCTCTGTCCTCTGTTCCCGCCATCTCCTACATCACTGTATCTCTGTCCTCTGTTCCCGCCATCTCCTACATCACTGTATCTCTGTCCTCACCATCTCCTACATCACTGTATCTCTGTCCTCTGTTCCCGCCATCTCCTACATCACTGTATCTCTGTCCTCACCATCTCCTACATCACTGTATCTCTGTCCCCTGTTCCCGCCATCCCCTACATCACTGTATCTCTGTCCTCTGTTCCCACCATCTCCTACATCACTGTATCTCTGTCCTCTGTCCCTGCCATCTCCTACATCACTGTATCTCTGTCCTCTGTTCCTGCCATCTCCTACATCACTGTATCTCTGTCCTCTGTTCCCGCCATCCCCTACATCACTGTTTCTCTGTCCTCTGTTCCCGACATCTCCTACATCACTGTATCTCTGTCCTCCGATCCCGCCATCCCCTACATCACTGTATCTCTGTCCTCTCTTCCCGCCATCCCCTACATCACTGTATATCTGTCCTCTGTTCCCGCCATCTCCTACATCACTGTATCTCTGTCCTCTGTTCCCGCCATCTCCTACATCACTGTATCTCTGTCCTCACCATCTCCTACATCACTGTATCTCTGTCCTCTGTTCCCGCCATCTCCTACATCACTGTATCTCTGTCCTCACCATGTCCTACATCACTGTATCTCTGTCCTCTGTTCCCGCCATCTCCTACATCACTGTATCTATGTCCTCACCATCTCCTACATCACTGTATCTCTGTCCTCTGTTCCCGCCATCTCCTACATCACTGTATCTCTGTCCTCACCATGTCCTACATCACTGTATCTCTGTCCTCTGTTCCCGCCATCTCCTACGTCACTGTATCTCTGTCCTCTGTTCCCGCCATCCCCTACATCACTGTATCTCTGTCCTCTGTTCCCGCCATCCCCTACATCACTGTATCTCTGTCCTCTGTTCCCGCCATCTCCTACATCACTGTATCTCTGTCCTCTGTTCCCGCCATCTCCTACATCACTGTATCTCTGTCCTCTGTTCCCACCATCTCCTACATCACTGTATCTCTGTCCTCACCATCTCCTACATCACTGTATCTCTGTCCTCTGTTCCCGCCATCTCCTACATCACTGTATCTCTGTCTTCAACCTCTCCTACATCACTGTATCTCTGTCCTCTGTTCCCGCCATCTCCTACATCACTGTATCTCTGTCCTCACCATCTCCTACATCACTGTATCTCTGTCCTCTGTTCCCGCCATCTCCTACGTCACTGTATCTCTGTCCTCTGTTCCCGCCATCCCCTACATCACTGTATCTCTGTCCTCTGTTCCCTCCATCTCCTACATCACTGTATCTCTGTCCTCTGTTCCCGCCATCTCCTACATCACTGTATCTCTGTCCTCTGTTCCCGCCATCCCCTACATCACTGTATCTCTGTCCACTGTTCCCGCCATCTCCTACATCACTGTATCTGTCCTCTGTTCCCGCCATCTCCTACATCACTGTATCTCTGTCCTCTGTTCCGGCCATCCCCTACATCACTGTATCTCTGTCCTCTGCTCCCGCCATCTCCTACATCACTGTATCTCTGTCCTCTGTTCCCGCAATCCCCTACATCACTGTATCTCTGTCCTCACCATCTCCTACATCACTGTATCTCTGTCCTGTTTCCGCCATGTCCTACATCACTGTATCTCTGTCCCCGCCATCCCCTACATCACTGTATCTCTGTCCTCACCATCTCCTACATCACTGTATCTCTGTCCTCTGTTCCCCCATCCCCTACATCACTGTTTCTCTCTCCTCACCATCTCCTACATCACTGTATCTCTGTCCTCTGTTCCCGCCATCTCCTACATCACTGTATCTCTGTCCTCTGTTCCCGCCATCCCCTACATCACTGTATCTCTCTCCTCTGTTCCGGCCATCCCCTACATCACTGTATCTCTGTCCTCTGTTCCCGCCATCTCCTACATCACTGTATCTCTGTCCTCTGTTCCCGCCATCTCCTACATCACTGTATCTCTGTCCTCTGTTCCTGCCATCTCCTACATCACTGTATCTCTGTCCTCCGATCCCGCCATCCCCTACATCACTGTATCTCTGTCCTCTCTTCCCGCCATCTCCTACATCACTGTTTATCTGTCCTCTGTTCCCGCCATCTCCTACATCACTGTATCTCTGTCCTCTGTTCCCGCCATCTCCTACATCACTGTATCTCTGTCCTCACCATCTCCTACATCACTGTATCTCTGTCCTGTTTCCGCCATGTCCTACATCACTGTATCTCTGTCCCCCCCATCCCCTACATCACTGTATCTCTGTCCTCACCATCTCCTACATCACTGTATCTCTGTCCTCTGTTCCCGCCATCCCCTACATCACTGTTTCTCTCTCCTCACCATCTCCTACATCACTGTATCTCTGTCCTCTGTTCCCGCCATCTCCTACATCACTGTATCTCTGTCCTCTGTTCCCGCCATCCCCTACATCACTGTATCTCTGTCCTCTGTTCCCGCCATCCCCTACATCACTGTATCTCTGTCCTCTGTTCCCGCCATCTCCTACATCACTGTATCTCTGTCCTCTGTTCCCTCCATCTCCTACATCACTGTATCTCTGTCCTCTGTTCCCGCCATCCCCTACATCACTGTATCTCTGTCCTCTGTTCCCGCCATCTCCTACATCACTGTATCTCTGTCCTCTGTTCCCGCCATCTCCTTCATCACTGTATCTCTGTCCTCTGTTCCCGCCATCTCCTACATCACTGTATCTCTGTCCTCTGTTCCCGCCATCTCCTACATCACTGTATCTCTGTCCTCACCATCTCCTACATCACTGTATCTCTGTCCTCTGTTCCCGCCATCTCCTACATCACTGTATCTCTGTCCTCTGTTCCCGCCATCTCCTTCATCACTGTATCTCTGTCCTCTGTTCCCGCCATCTCCTACATCACTGTATCTCTGTCCTCTGTTCCCGCCATCTCCTACATCACTGTATCTCTGTCCTCACCATCTCCTACATCACTGTATCTCTGTCCTCTGTTCCCGCCATCCCCTACATCACTGTATCTCTGTCCTCTGTTCCCGCCATCTCCTACATCACTGTATCTCTGTCCTCTGTTCCCGCCATCTCCTTCATCACTGTATCTCTGTCCTCTGTTCCCGCCATCTCCTACATCACTGTATCTCTGTCCTCTGTTCCCGCCATCTCCTACATCACTGTATCTCTGTCCTCACCATCTCCTACATCACTGTATCTCTGTCCTCTGTTCCCGCCATCTCCTACATCACTGTATCTCTGTCCTCACCATCTCCTACATCACTGTATCTCTGTCCTCTGTTCCCGCCATCTCCTACATCACTGTATCTCTGTCCTCACCATGTCCTACATCATTGTATCTCTGTCCTCTGTTCCCGCCATCTCCTACATCACTGTATCTCTGTCCTCTGTTCCCGCCATCCCCTACATCACTGTATCTCTGTCCTCTGTTCCCGCCATCTCCTACATCACTGTATCTCTGTCCTCTGTTCCGGCCATCCCCTAAATCACTGTATCTCTGTCCTCTGTTCCCTCCATCTCCTACATCACTGTATCTCTGTCCTCTGTTCCCGACATCTCCTACATCACTGTATCTCTGTCCTCTGTTCCTGCCATCCCCTACATCACTGTATCTCTGTCCTCTGTTCCGGCCATCCCCTACATCACTGTATCTCTGTCCTCTGTTCCCTCCTTCTCCTACATCACTGTATCTCTGTCCTCTGTTCCTGCCATCTCCTACATCACTGTATCTCTGTCCTCTTTTCCCGCCATCTCCTACATCACTGTATCTCTGTCCTCTGTTCCCGACATCTCCTACATCACTGTATCTCTGTCCTCTGTTCCCCAGTCGTATGCAGGGAAGTACGTCCCCGCCATCTCCTACAAGATCCACGTGGAGAACCCAACAGCTAAAGTGAAGATCAACTTCAAGGGGATGGCTATCGGAGATGGCCTCTGTGATCCAATAACGGTACAAATATATAGATTTTCGAAACGATCGTAGCCCTTAAATAATCGTAAAGTTATCGTAAGGACATCGTAGGCTAATGTTTGTGGTAAATCCAAGATAGACCCATACCTATCGTAAGTTTTTTTCATCTTCATCTAAGATGGCAGCATACTTTTCCATAGATATTTTGCCAAACAATTAGTCTGCTTTACATTCAAACGTTGACATTTCCTTTTGTTAAAATTTGTGATTCAAATTGACCCTTCGAAAACACGAAGACCGCATCAAAGATTTCACGTCAGAAGTGTTCTTCATCGCGACAGCGATCCACATAACTGTGGAGTCGATAGCTTACAATATATTTCTATCCGAGTCCATGCTGAAGAAGTGTGAAACAACATACCTTTTCGATAATTTGGGAAGGATAAAAACGTAAGGTGTCGGCAGGCTATAGTAATGACCGTGACCTTATTGATAGCTCAGGGGCAGTTAAACTTGGTTCATACTCTAACTGAGAGTGGTTTCCCTTTGTATTCGCCCGGGCTTGCTCAATGTTAGAGTGTGCATAAAGCGCAGAGTTCCGCTGTTATATTTTCTGGATCGCATTTGTGACAATTGTAAGTGATAACGTTGGCCCAACGTCTGACCCAACATCTGACTGCTATCTGGGAATGCTTTAGTCTTAAATTTTGCATTTTATAAAATTATATCAATCTACATGTGTGACAAAGTGCAAAACCATAAACGTTTCACATCATGTTTTACATCAATATTGATGTGGGACAAGCGGTTTTAACAATTGAATGTAACAATACCAGTGTACTATTTATTGATTAAACAAGGAAATTCATGTGATCAAATATGTGTATAGTATATTTGTATAAAGAGTATTTTTAATCTTTATCTAGCAAATGTAATTGTATTTTTCTTTTCGTTTTAAGAACAACACCTAGGTTATCTATATTACTGAAAGACAAATATTTGATAACAAGTGAGTAAATATTGTCTGTTGCAATGCAATAATTGCATTCTTTAAAAACAGGTGATTAACGGCATAGATGTATTCGATTAAATATAGCAATTTGTTGATATTTTAACGGCAAAAGTTAAGCACATATTTTTGTATCGTATTTTCCAGATTGGCGATTTGAAAAATCAAGTAAAAAATGGGTTCCCATGCTCGTTGAGTTTAAAATGTCATCAAAAAGTAACATATTTTGAACACTGCCCAAAATTCAGTTTACAATATATTTACGGAGCAAATGTTTATTGAATGAAATTTACTGATGGACTTAATCACAATAATCTTTGAATTTTGCATTCACTGGACCGATTTTATAATAATAATTGATGTTGGTCTTTTTAAAATTAAAGTGTACATTTATCCGTTTTATATTAAAAAGATATAATTACTTGAAACCATTCAGACAATAAAATAGTTGTAAAGGATAGGGTCACTGGACAAATACTATTAAATGACCCTAGCAATGCTATGTTTGGAAATAGATTTCACACATTCACAATGTAGATATTTCACTCATCAGCCAGATTTAAATCAAATAAAAAAAATCTGTTTATTAGCTCTACTTATTTTTAAAGGATAGAAAAGGACTACATTATATATATGTTCACGTTAACTTGTGGAGTGTTCCATCAGACAACACAACTAGATAAAAAAAAATAAAAGCATCTTCTAAATACTAATTGCTTGATATTGTATTTGAGTCCTTGGTTTATTCGTGAAATATATTGGATATATAAATAACAAACAAACTTAATTTAAGCATACATTGTCATTATAACCCGCTCGTGGGTGCACTGCTTCATGAAAAAATTTTGTTTTGAGAGTTTCCAGGTATAATGTTAGTGTTTTCTCTATAAACTTGACTTTTGACATAAACGCAAAAACAAGCAGTATTGTCCAACTGACCCAGTATACAACACGTAACATCAGACTTGAACACGCATCTTAAATGATTAATGCCTGCTGTTTGATCAAAGGCCTCGGCATTGTCATCTAGAATAACGTCCCTTACTTTTGATCCTTTACTTTGTACGCGATGTGTTAACATAAAGTTCTGCGCGCTCGCGAAGGGACCATTTGAAGGGAAAATAGTGAAGTATCTGTTTGCACATTTGTTCAATTCTAATAGCTATAGTGTGGTAACACTACACTTATTGATTATAACACTTATTGGGTTTGCAAAATGCCTTTGCATGACACACGAATGATATCTGTGTTCGGGTAGTCATCTCTTATCATAAAAACAAAACGTCTACATGTAGAACGTATGTGGGATTGTACTGAATGTCACTCAGATAGTTCCGTGTTAAACAATGTGACCTGACAATGTGATCATGAACTCCGTGTCACTTATCTATGTTGTTGTTATTGTCAGCAGCTGGGAAATCCTCGTGACGTCACTGGGAAACACCCCGCTTTTTCAATCTCTAACACAAATGAGTTCTCTGTCAGAGTTACGATAGATGTCGTAGCTCTGAACGATCTGCGACAGGTTTACGACAGTTTCGAAAATCTATCTTATCTTAATCCTAAGATATCTTATCTTTGAACGTAAGTTGTTAAGATTTACCTTAGCTAAGATCGTTTCGAAAATGTAGACCAGGTACATTACTCTTTCCTTGGATTTGTTTTGTGAAAATGAACAAAGATTAAATAAACATTGTTTGTGACAACATTCTGTGAAATATGTTGATGATTTGTGTTTGCAGATGTTTTGTCCTGAATGAATGGCACGTGTTTAAGAATTTGCATGTCACTGTTAGGAAAACATCACATATGGGATGAAGCTTTGCTTGTTTGCCTCTCTATAAATGTGAAATTATGTTTAGGCGCATGAAGACTTTCAAAACCTGTAAGTCACTCAAGTGTTTTTGTCCATAGTTATGTCTTTTCACTTATGCGTCTCTCATAAAAAGTGTCAACAAAGGAATTTCGAATGAATCAGTAAAAGCTGAAATTGCAGACTTAAATTCGGCAATTTGAGAATGCATGTTTGATGTTCATCTAAGCGTTTGCTTACTTTCTAATATTCACTTTGTATGGTACTAAACTTAAATAATTATTTGGAAAAGGTGAAAGCCCTTTGTCTGTCACTTGTTTTGTCTATATCTGTTGTCTTTACTTCATGTTTCACACAAGAATGCATTTGTACTTGCTTTGAAATCTATTCTTACATAAAACTGTATGAACAGCTGTTGATAATGATGTTTTTTATAAAGAACATTCAGGAGTGAAATCAGATAAAGGCTTTGTTTAATGTAACTTATTTGTATGAAATTTGATCACTTAGTTGTGTTCCTAAGTGTGCATGACTACCTGTCATATGATGTTTGATATCATTGACAGATGTTCCCGAAATATGCTGACTTCATGTTTAACATCGGCGTTCTGGATGAGAGTGAGCGGGACTATTTCCAGTCACAGTCCGACCTAGCTGTGAAGGCAATGCAGGAACAGAGGTTTGGGGATGCTTTCAAGGTGGGTGTTAGACAGCGAGAACAATTTACACACTTTCTTATAAGCTCTTTAACGGGGCAAGTAAAGTGAAAAAAAAATTTGCGGTTTTGTTTTGAATATCATTTTCCCTAGATATTTGTTTCCTAGAGAGACAAAAACTTTATATTTGTAGAAAGTATTTAAATGTCCTAGTGAAAGTGCTGAAATCACACATGCTCCAACATCGTTTTTTATGACAAGCCTATTTGGGGCCATGGCCTAAAGCACAGGTGTTTTCAAAGGCTGATAGGTTTGCCTCGTTTGTCTGTCTAGTGATTCTCAGCCATTAAACATATATTGTTTCTGCTATTTCTGTTGATCGTACAAAAATAACAACATTGCATAAATTGTTCAATGTGTGAAACAACCTTTGATCTTGACATTGTGAATAATTAAAATAACAATTAACAATCAGTAACTGGCATTTTATTACTACCATCCTATTTATACAATATACAATAAAACACCTGCTGCCCTTGGCCCCATTCCACACAGTAAATGCCAGTCGGGGTTTAATCCCCTGACTAGACAACTGAAGGCATCTTCAATGTTGTTACCCCTTTAGCTCTTTGTGACACAACTTTGTTTTAACCTTGTGTAGAAACAATCTTGTACAGTAAATTAATTACCATGGGAGTTTAGAGTTTAGTTGGAATTGTTCTATACAGGAATAGGCAAAATGACTTTTGTCATATACAGCAAGCAAGTCCACAACACCGCCCTGAAAACCACATGGAGTATACTGTTGTGTATCAGAGTAGGTGGGACCAGGCTGATCACATGTTGTCCTGGTTAGAATTGGTCTTCAGCAACCCATGACTTGGTTGATGCATGTCATCGTATCTCAATTGTGAAGGGGGAATGTGTGGCCCAGTTGTCTAAGGCGCCGTGATTTGCTGTGCAGAGTTGTGTCCCTTTGGCACGCCAGAAACCTATGGTTGTGGGTTCGAATCTCGGTTCGCCCTGATTATGTTTCTAGCTTTGTCAGCACCATACCCGTGCTTGTGAGTTTCACCGAAGTGGTAAATGTCTGACACCTGTATCACTTCGGGCTTTCCTCCCACATTAAGCTGACACGCCATGATATGACTGGAATACTGTTAAAAGTGGCGTCAAACCCAACTCACTTACTCAGTTGTGTAGATCATGGTGTCAAGCACTGGATTGTATAGTCCAGACTTGATTATTTACAAGCCCAATCATATAGCTGGAATTTTACTGAGTGAGGCATTAAACAACAAACAAACAAACAAAGCGAGTCATGGTTCCATCACAGCTGTACCCTTTACTCATGCCATCAACCCCAGGTTCTCAAGAATGTTTTTTTCACATGCTCATCACAGACTGTTGACAATACAATTACTCTTTTCAGGATGCCAAGATGCTGCTGTTTTAAATGAGATATAACTCCATGATCAAACCACGCTCATTTTCATCTCATTAAAATTGAGATCCCTTTTTTTGCCAACAGATATTTTGGGCAGTGATATTAGGAGGCAATTCTTCCTTTGCAACAAATGTTACAGGCTTACTCGATCATTTCAACTTTCTTAGAACTAAGGTATATCTGAGATTGACTTCATGCATACTGCTTCAACCCTTGCGCAACCAAATTGGCAACCATGGAAAGTGGAAGATGTTTTAAGCAGGGATGAAAACACAAAAACAAGGCTGCTTTTTCCGTTATTACTACTTCCAGTGTGGGATGTATAGTTTTTAAACATATTTGATGCAGGCTTCTGCAATGTTCTTCTAATTGATTCACAACGTCTTATCTATTTCAGATTTACATTCCATGTGTTCTGATGGCCACAACATGTTCTTTTGAGGATGTATTTGATCAAAATTGAAATATTTTGTTGTTGGCAGTGTTGGTTTGATTTCAAAGACAGGATTCTTTTGAAAAGTTTCTGAGAAAACTATGTACAAGCATGATGGCAATAGACCTACTTATTACTACTATCCTGCTACAACAGTGCCCAATGTGTTTCTGACCTTCCATAGTCATAACAGAGTGAAAATAGCTTGTAAAACGCACCCCAGAAGTAGGTCACCCATTTGGAGTTATAATAGCAATCCTTGATATTGCTTTGAATGTTGATAGGGTGTGTTTTGGTTTGTACCAGCTCATTGGTATGCACTTAACTTCACAAGGCACGTTACAGTTCACCTCGTATGTTTTGTTTGCGTCATATTTTTTTTCTATATTGTTGTTGCATTTGCTTGTGTCTCTTCATACACACACACAACTGCTGATTCTGTGTCACTTGTGTCTCTTCATACACACACACACCTGCTGATTCTGTGTCACTTGTGTCTCTTCATACACACACACACCTGCTGATTCTGTGTCACTTGTGTCTCTTCATACACACACACACCTGCTGATTCTGTGTAACTTGTGTCTCTTCATACACACACACACCTGCTGATTCTGTGTCACTTGTGTCTCTTCATACACACACACACCTGCTGATTCTGTGTCACTTGTGTCTCTTCATACACACACACACCTGCTGATTCTGTGTCACTTGTGTCTCTTCATACACACACACACCTGCTGATTCTGTGTCACTTGTGTCTCTTCATACACACACACACCTGCTGATTCTGTGTCACTTGCGTCTGTTGATGCACACAATTACACCTGCTGATTCTGTGTCACTTGCGTCTGTTGATGCACACACTTACGCCTGCTGATTCTGTGTCACTTGTGTCTGTTGATGCACACACTTACACCTGCTGATTCTGTGTCACTTGCGTCTGTTGATGCACACACTTACACCTGCTGATTCTGTGTCACTTGTGTCTGTTGATGCACACACTTACGCCTGCTGATTCTGTGTCACTTGCGTCTGTTGATGCACACAATTACACCTGCTGATTCTGTGTCACTTGCGTCTGTTGATGCACACACTTACACCTGCTGATTCTGTGTCACTTGTGTCTGTTGATGCACACACTTACGCCTGCTGATTCTGTGGTGTTTGCCCCTGTACCTGGTTCATCACAAACTCCTACATTGTCAACACTGCACCTGCTCAGAATCAGGATCTGGGCAAAGAATGTGGCAACTCAGGTGTCCTCAGAAGACAAGATCATCTGCCCTGGGTTGTTGAGGCTCAACAATTGCTGTTTCCTGGTCGATCAAATAAACCATCCTTCGGTGTCAAGACGTTTGAGGACACTATGAGACTGACTACCTGCTGGCACCTATGGTCTTGGGGTTTCTGCCATTTTAAGCATCACCTTCAGCACCTTAAATTCCCGCAATATATCTGCAAATACAATCCTTGACACCCTTATCCATGGCCTTGTGTTTCATTTCAAATGCAAGATTTTTACTCCAATGACAGCGGTGTCTTCATCTGCATCCTCTAAGGATTAATGGAAGGTCAACATTGTTGCTCCCCAAGGGCACGCCATGAGTTTGCTCACAATGTTATGGAGGAAAACACACATGGATGAGACTTCTTGGCATTCGTCTTTCTGGATTCACCTGCTGCAACAACCATGGTAAGGCTTCAACAATCTCAAACATTGGAGTCTCAGGCTGTGACTACCCTACAGACACTCCAAGCCTTATATAAGTCCGTCTAAAAGCGCCCATTTTGCAAATTTATGGTGGTCATGCACACACAATGCAGCAAGTCACAAGGCCATTCCTCCTCAATTCATTATTCCTGACACTCATCTGTTTCCTTCCGTCTGCATCAGCAATGAATAAGATTTATTACCATGTGGTTGGGACCTGCCACCATCAGCCAATCCTGTCATCTCCATGCCAGTAGGTTGCAGACTCCAACATGGTGGATTTTTTACGTGGATAATTCCCACAGGATCATCTAGAAGAGAGGATCTGTTGGAGAAATGAATCATTGAAGAAATCCCAGCTGAAAAGATAACTATTTTTAATGAGTAATACTTAGAAGTGTCAGATTTTGCATGCTTACAATGGCACAGCTACAACTCCACAACTGGGAAATTAACTGATGTCAATTGACTTACAAAATGCTTATCAACACATCCCCAAACACTGGGACACGATATATTTCCAAGGTTTCTACGTGCAGGGGCGGTATCTTCGATGGCAGACCCAACAATTTAGCATTTCTTTGGCCCAGATATTTACCTTATAGTCTATCGAAGGCGTCCTATGTCCGTGGTGGATATCAGTTTTGATTCTTACATGGGCAGTATTCTGTCTCAAATCAAGGTGACAATCCTGCATCTCCCTGTCAACTACACCCGTCATTGCTTGGAATAGCTGGGCTGGATAATCAATGTGGGGACATCAGAGCTATCTCCCTCACAGTCTCTCAGTTCTTTAGGGATCAGTTTCATACAGCCTTGAATCATCTCTCAGTTCCTCAGGTCAGGTGGTAACGGATTCAGTCGCTAATGTCTCAAGCTCTTTCCAGAGAAATTATGGTACACAAGTGGCAAGTACGAGATCAGCACAGTCTCCTGGGGCTGTAAGACCAGTGTCTGCATCCCCCATCTCCAGTGATTGACCTCAAGTCGAATGTCTCTTTCACAGACTTTGTACCCACTCAGCTGTCTGAAATTCCCTGTGGCCATTCATGCCCTTCAGGCGTAGCAAACATTCTCTTGAACACAGTAGGGTAGCGATTGCCACCGACAACTCCACAGTAGCATACCACATCAACAAGATGGGTCAATGCATTCCCAACCTCTGTTGGAGTAAACATTCCAGTCTGTCATGATGATTGATACCATTTCAATTCATTGGAGGCACAATCTCATCTCATTCTGGGGGCCACTTGTGGGGGAATTTATGCTCCATCTAGAGATTTTTCACTTTTTCTACAATCACATTTGGCAAAAGAAATGTAGGCCTGTTTGCCACTTCCTATTTCCATCAACTAGATTGCCGCAGATCCTGCTGAAGATCAAGGCCTTGACAGACTTTTGACTGCTTATTAGCACCTGCTGAATGTGGTTCCCAGACCTAATCTTAACAACGTTGCAAGAAAAGCTGGACTAAGACATAGGGATCTGTTATTGGACCTGCTGACCTGGCAGCCATACACAACGCCACTGTGTGGCTCTTTATATCAAGCATTGACATCAAATGGTTTCTCTGGCAGAGTGAGAGCTGTTTTCACTCTGTGTTATGGGTATTGAAGATAAAAAACAAATTTCACACTGTCATAGCAGGCTAAGTATATCATATCAGAATTCTCAGATTGCTGACTAACTTTAAACGCAGAAATGGATGTTGTTTAATATGTTGTTAAGCCTAATTATGTTAGCCTGCTCATCTTTAGAACCAACAAGAAGAAAGGTGTTGCCTAAACTACAGGCTTTTCTTAATTCTGTTTCTTACAGATAATGGGTAAAGTCTTAAATAACGGCCATGATGCATACTTTTATAAAGTCACAGGCCTGGACGATCTTTACAACTTTATTCTCACAGAGGTATAATTTGGAGAAAGTGTTTTCCTGCTACATATTTTCTTCTTCTTTCTGACACTGGAAGAAACTGAGTTTCATGTTAACTGTTATTTAATTGCCAGGTTTTTGATGAGCTGTTAAATGGGGACCTCACACAAGGACCTCCATACTTCCAAAATGTGACAGGGACTTCCAATTACTACAATTTCCTGCTAACAACGGTACAATTGTGTGACTGGTAAACAAACACTACATAATGGGACATACCAGTTGACCTTGATGAATGGGCATCGTAAAGATAGGTTATACACAGGGAGGACATCTGTTCACAGGCCTTTTCAAGGAGTCATATCCTGTATCTCATATATGTCATATTTACAAAACCTTTTCCACCCAATATTGGGTATATTTTGTAACATAAGTAAACATTAACAGTCTTGTTTGCATTGTAAGTCTGTGTTAATTTAGGTTGGTGTCTGTGAGGATAAAGCATCGTGGAAGTTTGTGGAACAGATGTACATCCTGTCTCATATAATGAGAAAACAGTAACTGGTAACATCACAACCTCTCATGTAATGAGAAGACAGTGTTTGGTAACACTATCAGCATTCATGTAATGAGAAACAATTGTTTGGTAACACCGCAGCCTCTCATGTAGTGTTTGGTAATGAAATATTGACCCCAAAATCCCAGGGTGCCTCTGAATCTAATGCTCCCGCAAGTTGACTGATGTGTATTATTTGTGAAGTTTGTCTACCAGTTTACATTCTGGAGCTTTTCCTGTTTATGTGTAGTCAGTTTCTTCAGTGAGCCAGCTTTACTAGTGCTCTCTCCCATGTTGCCATCTTGGTTGCAACCAGTAACACTAGCTTTTGCATGCACAGCACTGAAATATTACATTTTGCATAAAATATAATAGAACACTGCTCATTTCCATACTCTAGAGCACTAATGACAGCAGAATTTAATAACATTCACTCACAGGAAGATCTCATTGTTCCCCACATTGATCTGCAACATACACATAGTGGAAGTGCATGACCATTGTTCCCCACATTGAGTAATTACCCCATCAACTGTAACACATATATTCTAACTGAGGTATAAATGATGCACTGATTAAGCCAGTGTGTGATTATTTTGTGTTTCAGATTTTTAGATCCTAGAGCAAAGTTATGAAAAAAGACTTAACTTATCCTGCATTACTCTTTAATGCACTTACTGGAAGTGATGACGTCACGGTCCATCACATTACTGCTGTCACTCATACTGAACAGTCCTGTTTCAGTTCTCAAGCGACAACCCACTGTCATCCTCTGTGTGTTATTCAACACTATTTGCTTTTTGTGATTTATACCCCACAGCCTAATCCAAGTACCAGAGGGGCTCTCAGAGAGTGCTACTCCATCTTCTTCATGCTCCCCTGCGTCTCTTCTACCTACGTTGATGGGCAAACAAAGTACTTCAGACGCTGATGACCACAGTGACTACACCATCCCTGGCGCCAACGACCCAGAGACCGGCTTCTTGCAAGCGTACCACCTGTCATCAGATGGCACCAGCACTCTCAGTGCCTCCAGGATGCGGACCCCGCCCTTCCAGCTCCTCCAGGCACCCAATATGGATCCTACCTGGTTGCAGATGATGCAGTCCATGTTCCAGCAGAAAACGGCCAAGGCGTGGATAAACGAGACACTATTTGGTCCAAGCCTAACTCCATTCTGTCGGACTGGATGGTTGGACGATGATTTTACGATATTATCTTTATCGTCTGCGTTCAAGATTCCTCAGTTGAGGGAAGACAATTACCCCACCCATGCGTTGGAGATGGCAGACTTGGCACACACTCGGAATGACCTCTCAGACAGAAGTTATCCGTAGCACGATCACCTTATGGTTACGTGCTCTCCTTTGGATCCCCCACGGTCAACAACCCTCACGAGATCAGAGTGGTTGATGGACACGCGATTGGCGTTCATACAACGGAGGTCAGACCTTTTCCTCAAGCACTTAGCAGCACCTGGCCTCATTCATGGTGAGGGTTCTATGAAAGTTCCCCCCAATTCTCCCTGTCTAATCAGTGTCCGTTGAACGTTGGCTGAATGATTCCACAGAAAGGACAATAGTACATTTTCTTTCATGTGGCTTCTGGTAGACATGATCTGTACCAAAACTTAAAGATCATCACAAATTCATGATCATTTCATGATCTCGGGATCATCGTTCACTGGACAGGACAAGATATCATGGAGATCAACTTGCTCCTACACCAGCCACATGACACATTCTACACAGAACTTGGAAACACCACTTGTCTGTCTACCACACAGTTCACCAGGGATTATCCATGTTGAGCTTCAACCGTGTCTGTGGCAAACTGTGGGATTCTTGGTAACTGCGCAGGGTGATTTAATTGTCACATGTCAAGAACTCTCTGACTGTAAACATCTCCGACCTGAATTAGGTCAACTGACCTAATGTTAGCCATGCAGTGAATTTGTACAGATTGATTTTCATGCTTACTTGTACACAATGCTGCAACCATTCGATGACGCCTGTCGCTGTACCATATTTTCTTGAGTATAGTGCACACCCAAGTATAATGCACACACCCCTCTTTAGCGGCTTCAGTATTTTGGAAAAAAAATTATTTTGAATATTGTGCGCAGAAAAAAATCAGGGAATTCCGGTAAACAAACAGGTGACAAGAAACTTAGTCAGTACAATTTTGAAATTTGAGATAATAATTGACCAGACATGTTGATTCACCGTTCACCATTGTATTTTTTGTTCTGCTTGGCATTGTTTTACATGCAGAGATAAAGATTACCTTATGTATTTTCTTGTAAACTAGTGTGCAGAGTTGCGTCCCTTGGGCACGCCAGAAAGCTATGATTGTGGGTTCGAATCTTGGTTAGGCCTGATTATGTTTCTAGGTTTGTCAGCACCATGCCTGTGCTCGTGGGTTTCACCGAAGTGGTAAACGTCTGAGACCTGCATCACTTTAGGCTTTCCTTCCACATTAAGCTGACAGGCCGTGATATAACTGGAATACTGTTAAAATCGGTGTTAAACCCAACTCACTCACTCACTCTCGTAAACTAAGGTGGAAACAGCTATCAGCTGTACACACGTTCTCTTGGAATCTACTGGTGATTTAGTTAAAACTTAACCAATGATATAATATATAACATAAAATATAGGATTTTGATGCAATGATCGGGAAAAATTGTATCTGAAACTATTTTTTTATCAGGAATTACATATTCCAATATCATGTCATTTTAGTTACAGCTTTTACTAAATATATTTCAATAATAATAACCCTAGCTCTTCAATGCAGCCTATTGTTTTTGCCAGTTATATACTCAAGAAATGTTGCTGTACATCAATGTGACCTAGTCACTAACTTCAGTAGACCTCCAATGCTATCACGCGGGGTAACGAGTAACCACCTCGATATAAGAACGGGAGAGCTTATATAATGCCCAGGGGATGGAAATGATCACCTTACTTCAAACAGTGCAATCTTTTAGACCAAAGTTTAATATATATTCAGCCTTTTCTTCTTGATAAGTTTCGACTTTCCTCTCCATTTATGTCGATGCCTCAGTAATCAGGTGGGGAGCGCATTTTTTTCGTCTACATGGGATTTGGCATTGGTTCGCTGACAGCCGAATCTAAAATATTTGCTACACGCTCTTCAACAGCCGCTTACACTTTTTCAGTGGCAAGTGCTCCTGGGATTGCTCACTCCAGCCCACGCTGTGAGGAGCTAAAGTCAACTACACTTACGTCGGATCCAACAGTTCCCTTGACCTATCTGTTGCTCTTCCCCCTAACCTCAGGAGTCATTTCAACTGGTAGAACAACAACCTCACGGCAGCCTGGTGCCTGTACAATCATGGGACGACACACTCTTACTCCCTTCTTCAAGAGACGTTCCTCTTCTTTTTTTATCTGGTCAATCGGCTGGGCATACGTGTTCAGGTCCAGCACATTCCTTGATAACAATTTATCCAGCTTCCTCCCGGGTTTTCATCTCGTGTGTTAGTGCCAAGGTCATCCCAATATTGACCACGTCGCCACTTGCCAGAACTACCAGCGGTGGACACATTCAACATCATGTTGGAAGGGCCGAGGGCGTACGCTTTTCCACCACCAGTACTTCTTCCCAGGGTGATGCAGAAGATCAGGGCAACCAAGAGCCTCGCTCTCATTGTGATTGCACCGTAGACCTCAGAAGTCTTGCAGGAAATGATCCACTACCTCTAGCTGGGTGGTCCAACCACTGCAGGTTAACGCCAAACAAGTTTCATGTGTATGCCTGGTTTTACTTAAGAGAGCTCTAGGTGGAAAAGGCTATTCGGCACAGGCATTTAAGGCCATTGCTATGGCTTTGGCTTTCAATCTGAGACCTTTATGATGATAGGTTGCGTTCACGAAAACTTTTGTAAAGGAAAGGATTAGGATCCTACTACTGCATCGCCTCAATTCCCAGCTGAATTCCTCCCTATCTGCGTACCAAGCAACACCTGAAAGACAGCACCATTACTACCTATTGGGTGTCTCACAATTCGATGTTGGCAGTTCCAGAAGATAAGAAAATGACCAAGCTCCCAGAACTTAAGGCGCTATTACGCTCATTGCACCTTGAAGATAAGAAGGCCAAGTTTCAGCCTCCCCCATGGGATTTTTAATGTCATACTTTGGTGTTTGCATGTTAGAGCCTCTTCAGGCTAAATCATTTTATAACCTCACTAAGAAAACAATATTCTTTTTGGGACTGGCAACAGCGGCAAGGGTTAGTGAGCTTCACGCTCTTGATATTACCCGTTTATGCTTTGAGCATGGTACACACCGAGTCGATCACCTTGGACTGCTGGAATTTCATTGCCAAGAATCAGTTACCAGGACAGTCTAACCGGTCTTTCTCCATCCCACCTTTATTATTGATCAACGAGCTCTGAAGAACTCTTTTTATGCCCTGTGCACACATTATGAGTCATATGTCGCTTCAATACGTTGCGTGGTGCTAGGAAATGCCTTTTTATTCCCGTATCCTTGGCCTCCACTATATTATTATGGTTACAAGCTATCAATCCTTCCAGCTTCTGAGTTCGCCAATCTTGATCCACCAAGAGCTAATAACCCTCATGAGATTCGAGCGGTTGCCTCTACGATGGCTCTACACAGTAATTGCTCTATTAGAGTCAACATGGAAAGATGTTTTGAGGGGTCAGACACTATCTTCGCAAGCCACGACCTGAGGAATGTGACCTTGGAAGATGTCAAAGGTGTTTGAACCTCAGGTTGGAACCCGGCAGGTCACCAATCCTTGCCACCATTAAAATACTCCTCCTGTCTTGGGCCAGCCTTTCCCGACTTGCGCAGTGTTCACACGCCTGACAGGGTAGTTCTTCTGCTAACCAGCTGTTTAGCTTGGTAAATCTGTTTCTAGACTTTTAGCCCATGCTAATTTCTCTTGCTGCTTTTCACTAGGACGTCCTCATACTCTCGTACCGTCCGCAGACATGATTGGTCAAAGTAATTACAGATCTGCGCAAGTGATGCACTCAATGACTGCCGTGAACTACTGCAGAGTGTGTCACCGAGGACCACATCTGACGGTGTGCCCTTCTTACATACCATCCGATAACCATGCATTAAGAAGTAGTGCAGGGTAAGCTATAAAATCTAGTAAAATCTAGATATTTTTTATATTTGTATACTTATCCTGCATAATTACATCTAAAGTGGCCCACCCGGCTGAACTTGCCTCCCCACGATGTCTTTAAATGTTACGATCTAGCAGTAATGTGATGGTCATCACCTCTGTAGTAACATGATGGCGACACAACTAGTTGGAACAACCTCTTCATCAACTTTTCTTTCAGTCAAAACAAGCAGTAAGTGCATTAAAAGTTATGCAGGATAAGTATACAGATATAAAAAATAATCTAGATTTTACTATGAACACACAATGTCATTTAGAAAGTGTTTAAATGTAACAGCTGTGAGGCACCAAATCACCAGCACACAAAGTCTGACACCTGTCAAAGGAGTACACAAAGTACGTGATCTAGACTACCAGTTGTCAGACTTTCATTTTGTGGAAGCCTAAGTGGCTGAGTGCGTTAGATCGCTGACTTTGTGTGCTGGTGATTAGGTGCCTCACTCTGTCCCGGACGGAACTCAACACATAAAAAGTACAAAAGTCTGTACTTTACAAAGAAAGTGTTTTCCCAAATATAACATTTGTCAGATTTTACTAGTTCAGGTTAGTTTCTTTGAGGGTATCTGAATATGTTGCTTTGTTCACAATGTCTCATGTTCCACATATTGATTGCATGTGGGTCAGCATCTCTGACAGTGACCTTGCATTGCTTTACTTAACCCATGTATTGCACACTGTATTGCACTGGTAACACTATGAATAGACATGGTAGCCCCAGTAGCTATGCACTTTCACTAAGTCATGCCAGATTCTTCCTCCGGTCAAAGACGTCTTCCATCATGCAGTGTATTATATCTCCATTCTGTTAGGATTAATTCCCTGGAATCATTCATGACCATAGCTTTTTTCTCAAGTGTCATCACCCTCTCAGTTTCTCTATCTCTAACATAGTACACACTTTCCCTTGCTCACGATTGTTTTTTACAATCACAAATGGGTTCACGGTGCTTATCATTATGACAATGACACAATCTGTTGTGAAAGCTTTTATCAAATGGGAAAATAATACAGCCTGATGTAATATCAATAAATTGTGTTTGTGTATGAAATAAATACTCAATCAGTATGAATATCTTTATGTAAAACTTTATCACTCATGTTCTCCAATAAAACTGCATCAATCATTTCTTCCTATGAAAGTGTATCAATCCTTTTTTCCTGTAAAACATAAACCCATCATTAAAACTTTCTCCAGGAGCCTGCCTCCTTTAACTACTATGGCCCGTTTCTCGCACGACCAGAAGTTCGAAGAGCGATACACGTAGGCAATCTCACTTACAATGATGGCAGCGCTGTGGAGAAGCATCTCATGAATGATGTCATGCAGTCCGTCAAGCCATGGATAGCAACACTAATGGATAACTATAGGGTTGGTGCTTTGTTCTTTTGCAGTCAAGGATCTGCTATGGATTAGGCTGAAAGAATATATTATTGGGTTCTGGCACCAATTTTCACACAATCACTTTTGCATTCTTTTGTTGCTGTAAAATTAAGAAGTTGCGAATTGTTGAATTATGACATTCTAAATTGTAGTTTGTTGCAATAGGTTAACAAGACAACTTTGTGCTCAATTGATCTGTATTGGACATTTTAGTTTTCAGAACATGCCCTGAATTCTTCAAAAGTCATGATTCAGTGGTTGGGTTAAACAAAATATGTGCTGAAACTTGTCCATGTAGTAATAATGATATGATGATCTGTGTCCAGGTGCTGATCTACAATGGACAACTGGACATCATCATTGCTGTTCCGCTGACCGAGGCATGGCTCCAGACAGTCCAATGGAAGGGTCTTGAAGAATACAAGAAGGCACCAAAACTCATCTGGAAGGTTAACCCGAATGATACAGATGTGGCAGGCTATGTGCGACAAGTTGGCAACTTTTACCAGGTACAGCAGTTCACATGTTCACTATGGTCAGTGGTTTTCCAAACAGGGGTGCAGTCTGTCTGTGGTTCATCCTCCCATCCAGTTTGTCTGTGGTTCATCCTCCCATCCAGTCTGTCTGTGGTTCTTCTTCCAATACAGTCTGTCTGTGGTTCATCTTCCAATACAGTCTGTCTATGGTTCATCCTCCCATCCAGTCTGTCTGTGGTTCATCTTCCAATACAGTCTGTCTGTGGTTCATCTTCCAATACAGTCTGTCTATGGTTCATCCTCCCATCGAGTCTGTCTGGGGTTTATCCTCCCATCCAGTCTGTCTGTGGTTCATCCTGCAATACAGTCTGTATATGGTTAATCCTCCCATCCAGTCTGTCTGTGGTTCATCCTCAATTACAGTCTGACTCACTGACATTGATGTGTTGCTGGTGATGGTGAGTCAGGCATTGATGTGTTGCTGGTGATAGTGAGTCAGACATTGATGTGCTCCTGGCAGCTTGTGAAAGTGAGTTAGACATTGATGTGTTGCTGGTGAAAGTGAGTCAGACATTGATGTGTTGCTGGTGATGGTGAGTCAGACATTGATGTGTTGCTTCTGATAGTGAGTCAGACATTGATGTGTTGCTGGTGATAGTGAGTCAGACATTGATGTGTTGCTGGTGATGGTGAGTCAGACATTAATGTGTTGCTGGTGATAGTGAGTCAGAAATTGATCTGCTGCTGGTGATAGTGAGTCAGACATTGATGTGCTGCTGGTGATAGTGAGTCAGAAATTGATGTGTTGCTGGTGATTGTGAGTCAGACATTGATGTGTTGCTGGTGATGGTGAGTCAGACATTGATGCGTTGCTTGTGATGGTGTTAGAGAGTCAGACATTGATGTGTTGCTGGTGATAGTGAGTCAGACATTGATGTGTTGCTGGTGATAGTGAGCCAGACATTGATGTATTGCTGGTGATGGTGAGTCAGACATTGATGTGTTGCTGGTGATTTTGAGTCAAACATTGATCTGCTGCTGGTGATAGTGAGTCAGACATTGATGTGCTGCTGGTGCTAGTGAGTCAGACATTGATGTGTTGCTGGTGATAGTGAGCCAGACATTGATGTAGTGCTGGTGATGGTGAGTCAGACATTGATGTGTTGCTGGTGATTGTGAGTCAAACATTGATCTGCTGCTGGTGATAGTGAGTCAGACATTGATCTGCTGCCTGTGATAGTGAGTCAGACATTGATCTGCTGCTGGTGATAGTGAGTCAGACATTGATGTGCTGCTGGTGATAGTGAGTCAAAAATTGATGTGTTGCTGGTGATTGTGAGTCAGACATTGATGCGTTGCTTGTGATGGTGTTAGAGAGTCAGACATTGATGTGTTGCTGGTGATAGTGAGTCAGACATTGATGTGCTGCTGGTGATAGTGAGCCAGACATTGATGTATTGCTGGTGATGGTGAGTCAGACATTGATGTGTTGCTGGTGATTTTGAGTCAAACATTGATCTGCTGCTGGTGATAGTGAGTCAGACATTGATGTGCTGCTGGTGCTAGTGAGTCAGACATTGATGTGTTGCTGGTGATAGTGAGCCAGACATTGATGTAGTGCTGGTGATTGTGAGTCAGACATTGATGTGTTGCTGGTGATTGTGAGTCAAACATTGATCTGCTGCTGGTGATAGTGAGTCAGACATTGATCTGCTGCCTGTGATAGTGAGTCAGACATTGATCTGCTGCTGGTGATAGTGAGTCAGACATTGATGTGCTGCTGGTGATAGTGAGTCAGAAATTGATGTGGTGATGGTGATGTGAGTCAGACATTGATTTGTTGCTGGTGATAGTGAGTCAGACATTGATGTGTTGCTGGTGATTGTGAGTCAGACATTGATGTGCTGCTGGTGATAGTGAGTCAGACATTGATGAGCTATAGTTGCTGGTGATAGTGAGTCAGACATTAATGTGCTGCTGGTGATAGTGAGTCAGACATTGATGTGCTTCCGGCAGCTTGTGATAGTGAGTCAGACATTGATGTGTTGCTGGTGATAGTGAGTCAGACATTGATGTGCTCCTGGCAGCTTGTGAAAGTGAGTTAGACATTGATGTGTTGCTGGTGATAGTGAGTCAGACATTGATGTGTTGCTGGTGATGGTGAGTCAGACATTGATGTGTTGCTTGTGATAGTGAGTCAGACATTGATGTGTTGCTGGTGATAGTGAGTCAGACATTGATGTGTTGCTGGTGATGGTGAGTCAGACATTGATGTGTTGCTGGTGATAGTGAGTCAGAAATTGATCTGCTGCTGGTGATAGTGAGTCAGACATTGATGTGCTGCTGGTGATAGTGAGTCAGAAATTGATGTGTTGCTGGTGATTGTGAGTCAGACATTGATGCGTTGCTTGTGATGGTGTTAGAGAGTCAGACATTGATGTGTTGCTGGTGATAGTGAGTCAGACATTGATGTGTTGCTGGTGATAGTGAGCCAGACATTGATGTGTTGCTGGTGATTTTGAGTCAAACATTGATCTGCTGCTGGTGATTTTGAGTCAAACATTGATCTGCTGCTGGTGATAGTGAGTCAGACATTGATGTGCTGCTGGTGCTAGTGAGTCAGACATTGATGTGTTGCTGGTGATAGTGAGCCAGACATTGATGTAGTGCTGGTGATGGTGAGTCAGACATTGATGTGTTGCTGGTGATTGTGAGTCAAACATTGATCTGCTGCTGGTGATAGTGAGTCAGACATTGATCTGCTGCCTGTGATAGTGAGTCAGACATTGATCTGCTGCTGGTGATAGTGAGTCAGACATTGATGTGCTGCTGGTGATAGTGAGTCAGAAATTGATGTGTTGCTGGTGATTGTGAGTCAGACATTGATGCGTTGCTTGTGATGGTGTTAGAGAGTCAGACATTGATGTGTTGCTGGTGATAGTGAGTCAGACATTGATGTGCTGCTGGTGATAGTGAGCCAGACATTGATGTATTGCTGGTGATGGTGAGTCAGACATTGATGTGTTGCTGGTGATTTTGAGTCAAACATTGATCTGCTGCTGGTGATAGTGAGTCAGACATTGATGTGCTGCTGGTGCTAGTGAGTCAGACATTGATGTGTTGCTGGTGATAGTGAGCCAGACATTGATGTAGTGCTGGTGATGGTGAGTCAGACATTGATGTGTTGCTGGTGATTGTGAGTCAAACATTGATCTGCTGCTGGTGATAGTGAGTCAGACATTGATCTGCTGCCTGTGATAGTGAGTCAGACATTGATCTGCTGCTGGTGATAGTGAGTCAGACATTGATGTGCTGCTGGTGATAGTGAGTCAGAAATTGATGTGCTGCTGGTGATGGTGATGTGAGTCAGACATTGATTTGTTGCTGGTGATAGTGAGTCAGACATTGATGTGTTGCTGGTGATTGTGAGTCAGACATTGATGTGCTGCTGGTGATAGTGAGTCAGACATTGATGTGTTGCTGGTGATGGTGTTAGTGAGTCAGACATTGATGTGTTGCTGGTGATAGTGAGTCAGACATTGATGTGCTGCTGGTGATAGTGAGTCAGACATTGATGTGCTGCTGGTGATGGTGAGTCAGACATTGATGCATTGCTGGTGATGGTGTTAGTGAGTCAGACATTGATGTGTTGCTGGTGATAGTGAGCCAGACATTGATGTATTGCTGGTGATAGTGAGTCAGACATTGATGTGTTGCTAGTGATAGTGAGTCAGACATTGATGTATTGCTGGTGATAGTGAGTCAGACATTGATGCATTGCTGGTGATAGTGAGTCAGACATTGATGTATTGCTGGTGATAGTGAGTCAGACATTGATGTGTTGCTGGTGATAGTGACTCAGACATTGATGTGTTGCGGGTGATGGTGAGTCAGATATTGATGTGTTGCTGGTGATGGTGAGTCATACATTGATGTGCTGCTGGTGATAGTGAGTCAGACATTGATGTGTTGCGGGTGATGGTGAGTCAGATATTGATGTGTTGCTGGTGATGGTGAGTCATACATTTTGATGCGTTGCTGTTGCAGGTGATCGTGAGGGGAGCTGGGCATATACTGCCATATGACCAGCCTGTCCGTGGATTTGACATGATCCAGAGGTTCATTGAAGGGCGCTAGGAAGATTAACACAGCAAGACTACTTGCATATCTCGCTGCTCCTGAAACGCCACATCACATCTTTTGTATGGATTTATTATGCATATTATCAGTGCTGATGGCAAAATATCTTGATGGTTTTGGTTACTTTTAAATCATAACTTGGGTCCATACTTTCAGAATGTATATATTTTGATAAATCTATGTACATGTGATATTATTGATTTCATATTTTGATGACATGAGTAGTTTTGGAAATAAAGTTTGATGCTCAGATTTTTAATTGTTAGCATTTATTTCACAGAGAGCACACAGCCAGATGAAAGTTAAAATGACAGTGACTATAAGTAGTTTCAGATCTGTTGATGGGCCTCTCTAAAGTCTATGAAACAATCCACCAGACAACTTCCACAATCCTATGTTCATGTTTATTTGTGGCAAGTATTTCACAATCTTTCGCAGCACTTGCAGAAAGTGGGTATGATACCTGTTCACTGATGTGCACCTCCATTACATACAGTAATGCCTGGTACGGGGTGGTACCTGAATGAAGAGCTTATGGTGTACACAACTTTTGAATACCTTTGTTGTGTGATTAATATTGCACAAGTAAAGGTTTGAGGAGAATCGTATAACAGTAAAGAAGCCTGCTTCAGTTAAAGGGAGACCTATGAGACATTACACTTTCCACACAATAGTCGATTTTCTACACATTTTCAACAATTGGGCCGGCCATACTGAAGAATGAAGGAAAATAGTATCTCCTTTCATCTGACCAATATTTTTTCAGAAATAAATGTAAACCAAGAAATAAATAGTCGTTTAAGGATTTTCACATTCCTATTGAATTCTAGTTCAATCCACAAAACCCCAAAGCAACTAATTGCCCCTTTAAAGATATACCAATTTCAAAGAAAAAGTAGAAATTGACAACTGCCATAAATAAACTGTATCCTGTGGTGTTGCTACACATATCGATATGTCTGGATGTTCTGTGCTTTCTTAGACAAAGATTCCAACAAACATTCAGAGACAACTTCTGCACGCCTCCATGTTATGTCTTGAATACTGTTGACTGCGCTGTGGACAACAAATGCAATGCAAAGAGGAGAGGAGAAGACACTATATCATCAATTCTTGACCAGGCAACATGGATGGCAGGACAGACTGTCAACAACAAATCAGGGAACTGATGGAATGATAACAAAAGGGTAGTGATGATAAATGTCTAACTGTAAAATAAATTTCGGGCGTGTTGATCAAATCTGGTGTGTACACCATGTTGGACGATACATGCCTGACACCTTGATGGCATACTGTTGATTAACTTCCATATGGTTGCCATTCAGTCTGAAGAGCTACCCCAAGCTGGACCACGTTTGGTCAGGCATCACTGTCGTAGACTATCCGCCCGAGAACATCCCACAAATGCTCTTTCAGGGAATTGTCAGGGGACTTAGCGGGCCAGTCCAATGTCCGTATGCCTTCTCGGAGATAATCAGTGACGACCTGGGCACGATGTGGTTTGACAGTGTCATCTTGCATTTCTAAATGGGGATTACCTAAAAGTCGGGCCGGGCCGGGCCAAGACGGGCCAAAGTGTTATTGGCTAATTACTTCATTATCGGCGATCATATCTACATATTATTGATGCAACATACACACATGACACTACTGAACAATCACCAATCCAAAACGTGCAGCATAATTAAGTAATTCGGAGTAAATCACTTAAAAACTAGAAAGTGGAGCTATGTGTTAGCGTCGCTGATCTAGGTAACATGTAAAAGAGCAATCGTTAAACGAAATAAGATTTGACACGTATCAAATACTTCTAGCTATCGTGATACGAATTTCCATCTGCCGGCATAGCGTTTATATTATAGGAACGCACTATATCTAAGTAAATACCACTTTATAACGTCACTGTTCATCGTATTTAAAGCAGACACGATGGTTAAAGTAGAAAAACGGAACTAATAAAACGCATCTAAAAACACAATAACCTACCAAATCAAAATCACATAAACAAACAAACATCCACCATACCCAGCTCCCTTAGTTCTCCTCCCCAATCCCATCGGCATCTATTCCAAATCTCAAAATTTCCAAATTCTATATAAGCAACCCCTAAAACCCCACTCTTGGGTTGCACAGACCACTTTCGCCCCTTTCGGAAACACATTAAATGGCCTGGCCGGGCCCGTGTGCGAAATACGCATCAGTCGGAAAGCGCACGTTAAATCTCCAAAGTAAGTAAGTAAGTAAGTTAAAGTAGACCTCTTCTCCCTATACTCTCAACAGTCACACAGTTCGCTCCGACTTGGCCCGGGCTGTCAAAATCAACTTTAAACAGACAGATGTATCTTCAAATGTGATTACCTCTATAGATTAGTGTTATATCTACATATACACCACTTTATAATGTCACAGATCGCAGTATTTATAGAAAACAAGGGGCTCAAAGTGAAGCCCTTTTCCCTCTACATTCTCAACATAGTCTCTATCAGAAGTGTTTGGCTTGTGTTGGGTCCGACTTGGCCCGGGCGGTCAAAATGCACTTTAAACACACAAATGTATCATCAAATGTCTTTAAATCTATAGACTGGCATTATATCTACCTATATACCACTTTATAATGTCACAGTATATCGCATTCAAAGAAAACATGGCCGTTAAAGTCAAGCCCTTTTACTGTATTTTCTTGAGAGAATTATACCAGTGTAAAATACACTCAATATTGTTCCAATATGTTATGTAAATATTAGCGTTATCTGATATAATTATTAGCTAAATATAAATGGAATTAAAATATTCATAAAGGTTTCATTACCTACAACATATCAACAAACAATTAAATCTGGTAGACGTTCACGTGTCACACTGAACACTGACAGCTACATAGCAGGCTACAGTGATGTAAGATTGACGTATCCATCAAACCCATCGCGCTGAGTGAATTCTATTGTCCAGAGGCCGTAGTCGCGCCGGCGTAGAAGTTATTATTATGTAATAATACAGCATCACTACCTCGTGACGTAACGTCCGTCGGTCAAGAACTAGATGAAGACAATGCACAATTCATTGACTAGGGAATCACTCAAAGTCAAAATGTACGAGGCGATTACTATAAAAGTCAAGCATCTCCACTGGTCAGTACGAATTACGCATAGCTAACATATATCACAGGGTTACCCATGAAACGAACATGGAAGAGCTAACAAGACTAGCTCAAATAGTAGGCAAAAATGGGATAATCCTTGGTGACTTTAATGCCCACAGCCCTCTTTGGGAAGACAGGAATGATTCATGCAAATATGGCAAAATGGTAGAGAAATGGGTTGAGGACGACAATCTCATAACTCTGAACAACGGCAGTCACACGCGTTATGACCAAGTCCACAACACGTGGAGTTCAATTGATCTCACAATTGCCACCAAAAACCTCGCCTCACATTGCCAATGGCAAGTCCATGACGACACTTGGGGAAGCGATCACCTTCCTATACTCACCTACATAGGTAGCCCACCACAATTAGAGGAACAGCCCAATCCTCAGCCCACATGGGACTATGCAAAGGCTGACTGGCCTAAATTCAGGAAGGAATGTGTATCATTCAAGTCCTCAGAAATTGCCTCGGATGATCCTGATCTTTTTTGCCAAAATCTCACCTCAGCAATTATTGCCGCAGCTGAAAAATCAATTCCAAAAAAAGACCACAAAACTGGCAAAACGCCGGTACCATGGTGGAACAGGGAAATAGCAAAAGCTAGGAGAGTGAGAAAGAAAGCCCTAAATAGGTCAAAAAGGGATAAATCAGCCTTTGCCCAAGTCCGAGCAGCCAGGACGAAAGTAAGACAACTCATAGACGATTCTAAAAAAGAGTCATGGCAGACCTTCTGCAAATCCCTTAATGAGAAAACAAATGCTAAAACAGTCTGGAGCAAAATACACGCAATCAGGGGTAAGCGTAAACCCACAAAAATTCCCAAGTTAGCCAACGCCCATACAGTCAAAGAAAAGGCCAACATTCTAGCTGAGCACTTCTCATCTGTCAGCAGCAACACAAATTGCAGCGAAGAATTCAAACAGGCAAAAATGCTTATGCCTAAGATCTCAAAACGGCCGCAAAGCAAGCATCTGGTATACAATATACCATTTACTGTGACAGAGTTTGATGATGCGATACAACATAGAAAAGGCACAGCACCTGGTCTTGACACAACCAGCTACGAGATATTGAAAAACCTACCTGATCAAACCAAAGGCTTACTCACTGAGTTGTATAACACGATATGGTCCAAAGGAGAAGTCCCAAAAGCATGGAAACATGCTGCGGTTATCCCGCTGCTAAAGCAAGGGAAAGACGAAGCCCTACCAAACTCTTATCGACCGATCTCACTCACCTCAAACATGTGCAAAGCCATGGAAGCCATGGTTACAAAAAGGCTCATGCATCATCTTGAAACTGGCAACCACATAAAACCTGACCAAAGTGGCTTCAGGAAGGGACACTCGTGTCTAGATCATATTCTAAGACTGGAAAATGAAATAAAAAAAGCCCAATTAAACAGACAATACCTAGCCGCAGTATTTCTGGACTTCAGCAAAGCCTTCGACATGGTATGGCATGACGGACTCCTCTCAAAACTATCACAAAATGGAGTTGAAGGGAACATGGCAAACTTCATAGACAGCTTCCTGCAAGACAGGTCGCTTTCAGTTAAAATAGGGAACAATCGATCGGATCCTATGGCACTGGACAATGGCACGCCACAAGGCAGCATTATAAGCCCAACCCTGTTTAATATCATGATCAATGATCTTTTTGACCATGTCAACTCTCCTACCCAAACTTCTAAGTTCGCTGATGACGGAGCAATATGGGTAAAGCACAGAGATATCTCACAAATCAGAAAAAAACTCCAGTCAGCCCTGGACGGAGTAGATCAATGGTGCAATAAATGGGGATTCACCCTTTCAAGTGAAAAAACTGTTGGAGTTCTATTCAAACGCCGGGGGAAAGATGCTATGATACCCCGTGTCTCCATAAAAGGCAAACCTATCAAATTCGAAAAATCTGCAATATTTCTTGGAGTTATCCTTGATCAACACCTCACTTGGCGCAAGCATATCGAATATGTGGAAAACAGATGTCAAAAAGACCTGAACGTATTACGGGCAATTTCAGGCACATCTTGGGGCACATCGAGGGACACTCAGCTGGACCTCTACAAAGCTCTTATCAGATCAAAAATTGACTATGGTTGTGAGG